ACTTCCACGTGATTTCTGTGCGGTAGGTCTCTACGTGACATACTTAGTGGAAACCTCATAGAAAGCGGTGAGTGTACAAAACTGTGTTCAAGGTGATTGAAATCTTGGTTTGGAGTTTCTTTGTTTGGTTATGGAGGCGTCTGGCCGAGTGAGTTGCTATCAACTTGACCTTTCCAGGCTCTGAGGAAGGCCAAATCCGCCGAAGCGTCAGCTTAATCGTGAACAAAGAATAGTAACACCTCGCGTTTGCTCAACAAAAATACGAAGAAAATCACTTGATCAATGCCGAGGTTAATAGAAAGTCGGTCGTGGCAGTTACTCTCCATTGGGATATTACTACGTTCAGCGTTCAGAGTGAGGCTTCTGAAATCGCGAGTTCGCTTAATTGTACACAAGACTATGCAGTGATTAAATCTCAGAACATAATTCAGCACATATGTACGACATAATTGGCGGCATATCTGCGGCTATTAATATCTACTTTTTCCACTTCGAGCGCTATTTGTATTCTCTCTCTCTATCTCTCCCCATCTCGTTTATTCTACAGGAGAGATTTGTAATCCTTGGTTTATTTCGCACTGAACAGTTTCTGTTAAAGAACATCTTGGCTCCATCGCAAAGAGCGGACATCTCCAACATGCCTGTGGCTGAACGAGCACTCGTTGGGAGGAAAGCGTCGTGAGCGAATTATTTCTGATTGACAAACATTTTCTGTTACAGAAAGAGTACAATTATCATTTTTCAAGCTCAAACAATATTTTGTAAGCTGGTCGTACGCAAAATAGCGCTTTGAGTTTCCCATTTTAAGCTCATTATCGTCCTCTGTTTTCCTATCAAATCTTCAGGTTGTTTTTAAGTGAGTAGTTTAGTTAGAAGTTTTCAATTCCTCTCACGGCATTTTAGCATTGGGAACAATGAGCTTAGGCTCAACCATGAATTGGAAATGATACTACCGGATGATCCTGATGAGCCTGATTTAGGCATGTCTAGTCGACGTTCTCTGAACGGTATTCCATCTTCTCATGTGCAGTTTGCATCCTTTGTTAGATTTCTTCACTTGTTGTTATACTTGCAGAGGGCAGCAAAAAACTGTGTTTTCGTGTTGTGCCTCCGTACCGTAATATGTTTGCAATTACAACATCAAAAAAGAATGTGAAAATGAGGAAAGAAGGTATTTTCTCTCTTGTTGTGATGGTGCTGTTATTTTTGAAGTCAAATAAATATTTTTCAGTGAGTGTTGGAGAGCAGTATGATGCACAATCACTTAGGATTATTGAAGCATATTGTAGCGGAGCTGCACGTGGTGTTCCTACAATCGCTGACAATCGACCACCTCAGTTGATTGTCGCTGAAGACGAGAAAATTCTTGTAGAAGAAGTTGTTGGGGACGAAATCGTAATCCAGGAGAAGTGCGGTTTGAAATATTATACACCGTTTACTATGTAAGCAGCGCGCATATTTTAAGGAAAGTGCAGTGTTAAAGTCGCAGCTTTGTGAGTAGTTTTTAAGTAGCAAAAAACTAGCACTGAATATTCCTTTCTTAAATCTAACTGTGTCAGTCATCCAGATGAAATTCGGACTCAAAAATTTTTGAATATCCCGAAGATAACTGAGTTTCTAGAAGCCTAGTTGACACGGTGTATGCACTGAAGGATCAGGTAGCTAGTCTTCGACAAGAACTTGCTTCTGTGGGAAGAGCTCTGGATCGAGAACAGCGAGCGCGTCGACGTCTTGAAGAAATTGTACGACGAGGAATTATGAACGCAAATTCTCCAGTTTCTACTCCTAGACCAACAACAGAGATGAACGTGTTGCAGTAATCTAGTCATTATGTAGTTTTTTTACCTTTTTGTGATGAATTGTTTTGAAGCAAGCGTACATCACGAGCTTAATTGTAAGCACTATGCGTGATGTCGTAAGAATGGCTATACTTTCCTTCTTTTGCTGCATTGTCATATTTTACAGTAGCATAAGCTTATCTGCTGTCCAGATTTGAATGTTTTTGCTTTCTAATTGTTGATTCAAAATTCAAGCGGGATGATTCAACAAGCTACTTCAGAATTAAGTTTACTATTGATGGGTGACGAAATGTTTGTACCATTTTTGAGCAGTTTTCAGACGAATGAGGCACTTCTATTGTTTAGCGATTTTCCCAAGCGAATAAGATATTGCGGCTTACTTGTTGGCGTTCACGTTCCAAGTTCATTTTGAAGTTTTGATCTTTAATTTATTGAAAGCAATAACCGTCACTTAGTCATGTGAAGTGTTCTTTAAGGTTTTATTTTTCTTATTTAGCGTGATGTTTTTAATTGTTTTTAATGTGCCTGTCATAATACTTGGATACTTGGACGGCCCGTCCTTACTGGTTGTGCGGGTCATAGCATAATCTCCATTTTTTGGAGTTTTGCTGGTTTAGCCACTGTGTTTCCCTGGAGTGCCGTGGTCAGCGTGGTCAAAGTTTGCTCCATGTCGTCACCACCACAGGCAGTTGCAGCCCTTGTGGATTAGGGGGAATTTATCGCTATGTGACTAGTTTGACACCAGGTCGGTGGTGGACCTTGGTATCGGTTTACTTTTGGCTAAACTTCCTGGTAGAAACGCAGGACTCCTTCTCAGCTTGGGAGACTATGCAGAGGAGGTGAATCCCTTCGCTATAAATCGCAGTCAGACACCCAGGAACGCCTCCCGGTCAGGCGATAATTCGTTAGGGAGACGTCATAGTATCTAGTATAGTTCATGTTAGACTCTAGCGAGCAACTACGTTTTACGCATTGATATCACTTCTGTAAGCATTCTGTTACTACTTATTGGCCATGTTCCATAAGGTAGAAAACTGCACTCAGGGAAACTGATGCTAAAGTCAGGAGAGACGATTACTGAAGCAAGATCTGATTAAAGAAGTGGCTTCGGAACGTAATTTATTCCAGCTGATGGAGACGAGAAGAAATCCTTTGAGACCCATGTGGTGAAAGAAAACTGTTCCTTGTAATATGCGACATTGTAAGAGTTGGAGGAAGGAAGATGCCAACACCGGCTCCAAGCATCGGTAGGCCACAGCAACTCAATATGTAGGCCATATATGCATCTAGTCACCTCTAACGATATTCGATGAAGTCGAATGCGTGGTGAATCCCTCAGAGATTGGTCAACCTTTTGTCCTTTTCATGTACTACCAGGAAAATTAAGGGAAGCAGAGCATGTACGAGTCCCACCCGTCCCACTTCCCATTCATTCAGCCCTGTCGGAATTAACATACAACACAAAATCCACATGTTCACAAGCGCACCCACAGGACTGTGGATAGTAATGATTGCTTATCTCCAATACGTATAATTCATTCAGCAACAAGCAAGGACCTTTGAAAACACCCCTGGTTTGAGTGTCACTCCCCTATATGCTACCTTGGTACACATATCGTATCCTTGCCATTAACTGGCTGGATATCCCTCAGATCATTGGAACACATAATTTCTTGTGTTCAGACACATGCTATAGAAATCTAAGCTGCATTGCTATGAAATATCAGCAGTGATGTGACCTTTCATCAGAGGTTAGGCACAAATTAATGGCAATTATCAGCCATCAACCTACTATCTGCCATAGAGTATTTTGCTATCTTGTACTCTTGGATATCTCGTTAAGAGATTTGAGATTCGTAAATGAAGTATCAATGTAAGTGTGAAACGTGGCTTCTAACGTCGGATTGATGGCTTGATATGACAGGAACTCTACGATGTTTTGAATACGTGGAAAGCGTGCTACGTTCTATCACTTGCAACTCTATCTGCTATGAAATGTTTTGGGCCACATTCGTTTCCATTTTGTCTCAGAAATGATGCTCGTTTACCAATGATTCTTTTATCCTTATTGATGACACGTATCTAGTGATTCGTCCTCCGTTCGACGGTGTTTCAAAATTTCTTCAATATGCTCACATTCTTACATCTGACTGCATACACAGTAAGTTTAGTCGTCACCAGCGATTTCCACATTGATATGAAAGAAGTTGTAAACCATTGGATGTATGTTCTACTGATTGATTGTTTGACTCTAGAATATGTTTGTCGCTTTCATAGCAAGTATTTTCTGCTCTAAGTAAAAGAGACCTGTGACAATTAACATTAAAACCACAGTCATGCTGAGATCTTTGCAAAACTCCGGGCCTCAGATGTTTGAGGTGTGGTTCGAACACGCTATTACCCTTCCCAGGGTTAAGGCGTTTACCACTACACCATGCAGGTTCTTAGTCGGTCCAAAGTTTTGCAAATATCTCAACATTATTGTGGTTGTAATTCACATCATACCTTGCCATGAAAAAGAATTGACAGTAAATAGAAATTGATCAAAGTTAGCATTTTTTAAACGAGAAGTCGAGCCGACGACCACAGCATTCTCCAAGTTTTACTAATCTTATCCCGACCAACGATTTGCCATTTGGTCTTCTTATTTGGAGTTTCTTTTTTTCTTTGACAAAATGCATTGATCTTTATAGGTTTTGAATCAATGCTGTCCTATTTGAAGGCTCGTGTAGCGCAGTAGTTAGGGGTCCACTGTAAAGCATGGATGGTTTGTGCTTCGGACCAGCGTATCGAGCTAACACAGACCGACTACCCTCTGTGGTTGGCAAATTGAGACCATACTTGAACTAGATTAAAAATCACGAACTTAATACGTCTTTAGGGTGCTCTAAGTCATTGTATAGGTCGATATGCATTCAGTCATCTCTAATTAGCTGAGTGGAATACATGGCTCATCCCTTAGGGATAGATCGACATCGAACACTTTATCATCCCACCTGTGTCATTGATTGACTTTTTTGTTCAAGTTAGTACGCCGTTCTTCGGTCTCCAGAAGAATGAAGACTTCAACTCCGATACAAATTTCGCCAACAACATATCCTGTTGCTCGTTATGATGAAACGGTTGTCGATAATTTTCATGGAACAAAGGTATTTCTTTTGTTTTTATGTTCCTGTTGGACACATTTATTCATAACTCTTTTTTTCCGTGAATCCATCCAAATGATCTGTTTCATTTGATTTTGTGTTAATCGTCAAGTAAATCTTCCCAGCTCCAGTAAAGTCTTTAGTCATACTTGTCATTTGTAAAATTTATCCTGAGGATTCTGCTCGTCCGAGGGTAACGAAAAACCTCACCTTCATGCATCTATATTTATTTCCCCATCTTTGGTGAAAAGATACTTGCTGTGTTCTCGAAAAAAATATGAGTAACAAAATATGTGGAGTTAGGGTTGGTTTCGTAAGTCTTAAAAATTTTATTATCTTCACTTTCCAGGTTTTCGACCCGTATCGCTGGATGGAGGATCCAGATGCACTCGAAACCCGTAAATTTGTGGATGAGCTCAATGCGATCTCAGAGCCGTTCCTTGCTGAAGCTCCAAGTCGTGATAAGATTAGGCGACGGTTGGTGTCGTGTTATCATCCATCTCAGTAGGCGAGTGTAGCGCAGTGATCGGAGGCGCTCTGCACTACACATGGGATCGATCTCCGTACCCAAAGGTCACCAGCCCTTTCATCCCTCTAAGGTCGGCGAATTGGTACCAGACTTGTCTGGCAGGATAGCAGCACTGGCTCGATACATCGTTAGGCCACCGCGAGTTATTGTAAACTTCAGATATGCATTCGATCACCTCTAAACGATGCTTAATGAAGTCGAATGCATGGCACATCCCTCAGGGATTGGTTAACGTCGAGAGCTTTATACTTTAGAGTCTTTAAGTGATTGATTTCATCTATCTACGAAAAATATCTTAGATTAACTGAACTCTGGGATTACGAGAAGTACAGCTGTACATCCAAGCGGGGAGATTTTTACTACTATAGCTACAACTCCGGACTTCAAAATCAGTCGTAGGTTTTTAAATTGTTCTCATCAAGCATCTAATTAGCCCGTGATTCACGGTTTCTGTTTTCAGTGTTATTTATCAGCAGAAGACATTAAGTGATAAAGGCGACATTTTTTTGGATCCAAACACCCCTGATGGGACTACATCAATTAGGTGACCAGATCGTTTTTTTTTTGAGACTTTAAATCATAAATTCTAAACCAAATCTTATTGTAATATTTAGTTCTTGGAGCTCTACCTAATTTCAAAATCGTTGTAGGATTTCCGAATGGACGAACGATGGGTCGATTTTAGCATATGGATTAAGTGAAAAGGGAAGCGACTGGGTTACTGTGAAGGTGAAATTGCGACAATATTCGTTCAAATATTTATGTTTCGTCGTTTTCCGTGTAAGACGCCAAGATAGGCAAGAGCATTCCTGCATCACCGCATCTTCTTAGGAAATAGCTCAGAATATTTCAAATTTCTTCAATTTCAGTTTCGCGGGGCAGACAAAAAAGATTTAAGTGATGTTATCGAGGGCGTTAAGCATTCTTCACTGTCTTGGCTGAAGGATAACTCTGGACTGTTTTACTGCAAGTATCCAGAGCATAAGGTTTAACAGACTGACTTGTGTTTTGCAAGTGTCGCAGTAGCAATCTTTCTCTTTCCAGACAGTCCATGAAGGCACATCTGTGGAGAAACACAAGTATCATTCTCTCTATTTTCATCGCATGGGCACACATTGCATGGAAGATGTATTAGTTTACGATCGGAGAGATAATGCTGATTATATGATGTGAATTTACTAAGGAAATCTGGTTTTTTTTGGTATTATTTACTGATAATTTACAGCGGAGGGACAGTGACAGACGATGGTCGGTTCCTTATCATTGATGTTTCACGCGGATGTGATATGTACAACATGTTGTACTATTACGACTTGTCGAATTTCAATGGTTCAGTGGGGAAAATTATTCCGACACCACTGTTTGACAAATTGGATGGAAAATATGAGGTAATACCATTTCTATAATAAATACTAAAGAAACCTGCCAACGGTTTACCGCCTCATCGTGACTGGGAGGTGTTCTTGGGTGTCGGGATGCGATGTACAACGGAAGAATTCATCCTCCCAGCTGGATCTCCCAAACTGAGAAGGAGTCCACCGTTTCCATCAGGAAGTCTAATTAAGAGCAATCCACTACTAGGATCTGGTACCGTCCTGGTATCAAACTAGTCGATAGTGGCAAATCTCCCTCTGATCCACAAAGGTCTGCGACTGCCTGTAGTGGTGACGACCTCGGGCAGACTTTGGCCAGCCTGACCTCGGGATTCCAGAGAACCACAAAGGCTAAACGGGTAAAACACCAAAAAATTGGAGATTATGCCGGGATGCGCACAATAGGTGAGGACGGGCTGTCTAAGTATCCGAATAGTGGAGCAATGCAAAATTTTGCTAGAGAAATATATCCATTTTGTAAACCAGAAGTAGAGGTTGATATGGTTGATTTTGAATTGAAAATTCGTATAATTTCATAGTTTTAGTGAGCTAAGACCGTCTTGAGGTTCTATTATCACATTGGATGTTCTTTGTTACAGTACGTGGATCACGATGACAACTCTATGCTTATACATACCAATTACAATGCTCCCATGTTTAAACTTATTCGAATGTCACTGAATGATGGTTCGACCAGGGAAGTAGTACCAGAAAATCCTCACCATATGTTGCATTGGGCTGTTCCAGTAGCTGGTGATCGTCTAGTTCTCTGTTATATTGAGGACGTGAAGGTGTGATGACTACCTTTTTCTGCTCTTTTTACTTCTTTAGCTTAGAATTCTTGTTCGATGTTATTGTTTATTCAATTTCAGAACACATTATATGTTCACAATCTTAACTCAGGTACACTGCTGTGTCCTATACCATTGAAAATCGGGTAAAACTTTTGCAATTTTTAGTACTTTTTCAGTGGTATTTATTTTTTGTTTAACAGAATCTTGTAGTCTTTTAGGTCGGTTTCTGGATTTTTTGGGAGGAAGACACTCCACGATGTATTTTTTTCTTACGAGTCTTTTACTGTCCCCACCATTGTTTATCATGTCGATTTTGCCTCTGTCGATAGGAAGAGTGCTCCTAAAGTTAAAGTATGTGCTGGTGCTATGGTTAATTTTGTGTGTCAATAGTAATAGACTGTTATGAAATTAAGCGAGTGGGACTCGATAACATTGTTGTTTGTATTGAGGAGTAAGGTACTTAGATTTTGTGATAGCGCGTAGGAATAATCTGTTAAAGAAGCCCGATATCGTTTCAGGAGTTGCGAAGGGTTAATGTGAAAGGGATGGATGAGGATCAATTTTCAGTTGAGCAGGTCTTTTTCGAAAGCAAGGATAAGACCAAAGTATGGGACTACATTTCGTTTAAAAAAGTGCTTTATGTTTTAATAATTGCGCAACTGTTGCATTAGTTTCAGAGAATAAAGATTCCTTTGTTGTCTTCCTTCAGCTGATCATTTCTGTACCCCTACCGTTATAATTGATATCATTTGATCTGTGTGACCTTCCAGGTTCCTATGTACATCCTGTCTCTAAAAGACGCTTCCAGAGACGGTACTACACCTACAATACTGAACGGCTATGGAGGTGAAGCGTCTTTTATAATGTAGAGATTATAAACAGTATTTTGAGTTTTGAATCTATCAGGCTTTAACGTTTCTGACATGCCTTATTTCTCTATCAGCCGCCTGTTTTTTGTGAGACATTTTGGCGGTGTTATAGCGTGTGCGAACCTCCGTGGTGGAAGGTAAGTAAGGTTTGTAAAATTTAATTAACGGAGTTACTTACACTTTTTCAGTGAATACGGTGAGAATTGGCATATGAGTGGAATGCGAGAAAACAAGCAAAATGTCTTCGATGATTTCATTTCTGCTGCAGAATATCTAATAAGTCACGAATACACGTGTAGTAAGAAGTGAGACATCGTTCTGTTCACTTTACTATGATGTTGCTTTTTATCGGTCTTCTGGCAGGATTTTTACGTGTTTAAAAGAATGATTTGTGTAAAATAGTAATTGTGAGTTACGTTCAGTAACTTTTCAGCTGCTTGATGTTCCTTTTAAGCTTTCAATTTCTAGCAGCGTTTGCTTTCAGATTGGCCATTCATGGTGGATCAAACGGAGGCTTATTGGTTGCAGCTTGCTCACAACAGCGGCCTGAACTTTATGGAGCTGTGTTGAATCGTGTTGGGTGTGTGTTTTTTCTATGATGACAAATTTATCCAAGTTCACACTAGCCGTCTACGAAAAATGCTGTGTAATGTGCATTAATATCATGGTATTCCAGAGTGATGGACATGCTTCGTTTCCACAAGTTCACTATCGGCGGAGCTTGGATACCAGAATACGGTAATCCTGATGTAGCAGAGGACTTTAAGTTCATTTACAAGTTGGTTTATTTATTATTATCCCAGTTCCTACAGTTCTACAGTATTTTCTACATGTATTATGTCTTACTGTGGTCTCATCGAATATGTAGTCGTCTAAAATGTCTACTTAGATACTCTCCTCTGCATAACATCCGTTTTCCCGATCAAGGACAATGGCCATCCACTTTGATGATGACCGCTGATCACGATGACCGTGTAGTTCCTTGTCATACTTTGAAGTATGTTGCGACGTTGTACGAAAAGGTAACCAAGTCATTGATTAGTATATGTGTTCGATGAGTTCACAGATCTCTTCCATTATCTTTGGTGAGTTCAATCTCCAGGCCAAGCATCACACTATGCAAAACAATCCACTTCTAGTACGTGTTGAAGTAAATGCTGGTCACGGTGCAGGAAAACCTACAACAAAACTGGTAGGGCAGCAAGTGTCTTCAGTACGTATTTGCGCATTGAACTAGGAGTTTCTATTTCAGATTGCTGAAATCGTAGACATGTACAGTTTCCTTCAAAGAGTTATGGACATCGAGTGGAAGGACTAATTAGATACTTATTTCACTGTTGTTATTGTTGTTGCCGTTGTTGCTCTTGTAGGCGAAGGCTGTTCAAGCAGAACTGTTCTTTTCCTGTTTATCATAAAATTTCACAAGAGGTAGAGGTGAAAAGATGACATCGTTGCCCTATAGGCTATTTTTTTGCAGTCATCTTAATTTTGAATAATAAATATTTCAGAAGTGCGATTTGATGGCTATACAGCATATAGGGACATTCTGAAAGCTCTGTTGTATTTCGCAACGTATTGGAAATTCAGCGTGATCTCGTACAAGTGCACCATAATTAATAGATTTCTTTGATTTTACATACTGTTGCTTCCAATTATTTACACCACTAGTTTACAATTGTACACCACAACTCCCGTAGCTCCTTAGATATTTCTGTTCATATGGGTCTCCTCCCAAGGATTTACTGCCTCATCGTGGTTGGGAGGTGTTCCTGAGTGTCGGTCTGCGATGTACAGTGGGAGTTCTTCCTCCGGCAAGGTCTCCCAAGCTGGGAAGGAGTCCACCGTTTCCATCAGGAAGTCCAACTAAGAGTAATCCAGTACCAGGATCTGGCATCGTCTTAGTATCAAACTAGTCGCATGATGACAAATCATCGGTTCCACAAAGGTCTGTGACTGCCTGTGGTGGTGACGACCTGGAGCGGACTTTGGCCAGCTGTTGTCGAGGCTCCATGAAATCACAAATTCGGAGAATGGAAATTATGCTGGGGCCCTTATAACTAGTGAAGGCGGGTCATCCAATAATCTATCCCATTATCCATGCAAGTAAGTAAATATGTGACTGTTTCCGTAATTTCACAAGCCAACACGGTATTTGAACCCTGACCTGTGGGCGAGAATAGGTTCTCTTTCTCTAATCTAGTTAAACTATCACCAGAGGTTTTTTATTGGCTAGATGAAGAAAGTCGAGCGTAGCCAACACTGATTAGTCGGAACTGTCACACTGTAGTGCTACCGAAGATCAAGTCGCACGTTTCATAGATTGGCATGAATGAAATTGGAGACTGATAGCCCACATTATCGATAGTACTTATAGGACTTTATAGCAAAAGACTTTGGTTTTTAAAAATCTCTATCACTTCTCAAACCTAAAATGTCTCCTAAAGAGTAGCTGAGTCGGCCCCAAAAGTGTTAAACGGCTATCAACGATATCACCTATAAAGGATAAAAGGATAAACTTCTCGGCGTTTATCAATCCCTGAGGGATGCGCCATGGATTCGACTTCATTAAGTATCACTGGAGGTGATTGAATGCATATCTGGCCTTTACAATGACTAATGGCCTACCGATGTATCGAACTAGTGCTGCTATTCTCCCAGAAAAGTCTAGTACCAATTTGCCGACCCTGAAGGGATGGAAGGCCTGGTGTGCCATGGGCGCAGGGATCGATTCCACGTTTGCGTCGCAGTGGCGCCTCGAACCACTGCGCCGCATGCACCCTGTAGTATTACCTATATCCTTGTAATTCTTAGGGTGTTTGATATGACTAGTCAGTGTAAAGCATAACTCATCCGCTTTCGGGTGACAAGTTTCTCAGTGAGCTCCGCTTGTCCTAGTGGTGTTACGAAGACACTTACAATACGTGTTCCTTCATTTTTACTATTGGTTTGATCCTACTTCGAGTCGTTAAGTATTTCCATGTTTAAAAAAAAGGATAAAGCTCTCGGGGTTGATCAATCCGTGAGGAATGCGCCGTGCATTCGACTTCATTCAGCATCCTTTGGAGATGACTGAATGTACATCTGGCTTTTACAATGACTCGCGATGGCCTACCGATGTATCGAGCAAGTGCTCCTATCCACCCAGACAAGTCTGGTACCAATCTGCCGACCACGGAGGGATGGAAGGCTTGGTGAACCATGGGCGCGGAGAGCGTTTCCACGTGTGTGTTACAGGGCGACTCCGAGCACTGCTCCACACTGGCCCCTTACCATTTTTTATGGGGTCAACAAATTTGTGGACAACGAGCCCAGTCTGTAGGTCTTTTCGTTTATCTGTGGTGTTTTTCTTACTATATGATTGGCATATCTATATTGCGCTGTCGATAGTATCCTAGGTATCGATGATTGCTTGGATTCCGAAAATCTGAGCTGCGCATTCCTGCTAGACCTTGTGAGGGTAATTCTCTGAAGACATCGTCCATGCGCTCTGTGAGTAGTCCGTGGCATTCTTGACGTGGTTAAATTATCAGCCCACGTCTCTGCTGCATAACAGAGTGCTCGAGAACTGTTGAATCGAAAAGGTGAGTCTAATTAGAGAACCATCCACTTCGATCTGTTCGCCTTCGCCTTATGGGTTTTTCATGAACTGCGTATTCTTCCGATTTATTTCTACTCCGATCTTTCTTCATGCTTCGTTGAATTGATTAATCAACTGCCACGACCGACTTTCCATTAACCTCGGCATTGATCAAGTGATTTTGTTCGTATTTTTTTTT